ATTTGTGCATGGCAGTAACACAGTCTCTTACAAAGCTTCCTTTGAATTTGACCCCTTGGTAGATGGCCCTAATCAGGTTATAATTGAATCATCAACACAACACCTGCTGACATGTTGAAGTCATCACTGAAGAGGATAATCTTGAGTGTGTAATTTCTTCATTTTACGTGGAGTTGATCCATGGGAAGAGTCCCACAGATCTTTATGAAGTTAACTGCAGGTGACATAATGATTTAGAGGCAGTGCAGAGACCTAGGGGCTCCTGCTGCTCTCGGACCCCCACATGAGACCCTCTGCTCTGTCCTTGAAGATCCAGTGTTGGGCATCCTGCTGCTTAAAGTGTGTTTCCTTCGCCGGCTCCTACCTCCCCACCGGTCACCTTCATGACCTCCAGGGCAGAAAGGGTCAGATGGCAGCGATGCTTCAGTAACTTTAACCTCTGATAACGTGACCTGTGAACCCTGTGATGACCCCAGGACAAAGACTGTGACATTTTCTTTGTGAGGGCTTGGCATGTTTTTGTTAGTGTGCACAAGGATGTTGGTTGTACATGTTTAAAGACATGCCAGGAAGTTGAAATGAAAGACATTTATTTTTGCGATATACTAATGCGATAACAGACACAAAGAGGCAGGCTGCTGGAATTATGACTGACCTCAAAAACATTTTCCTCTTTAATTATGTCTTCTCAGCAAAATAGCTTCAGAGAAAGACCCTTCAGATTCCTGAGTTGAGTCTCGAGTGGCTCCAGTGGGTGACTCCACCTCTGAAACAAAAGACAAGGAATGTGCTCATGTTTTTCTCTGAGAAAACTGTACACATTACATTTGTGCTTGTCACATGTAAGAGTAAAGCCTTTTTTCCTATCAGGTCAGGCTAATTTATGGCTTTCTGTGTAACAAAGTGTTGAATGAAAAGAGAGACACGTGAGAGAGCGGAGTACTGCTGTGTGTCATTCACAGGGTGTGTAACACAGTACTTCCCCTTGTTTGAAAATGATTCTGCCCTAAATTCAAAGGACAAGGACACTTAAGATGGCTTGTATGTGTGATTTGTGGATAGACGTGTTATGTCTTTGTGATGACCAATTTGAGTGACAGGGCATCTTTTGCAACCTTTTTGGAATATTAAGGCCACACTCCTACAAAGAGCTGTTGAAGGGTTAAGAATGTTTTATAGTTTTAGATTAAATGTCAGAATGAGGTTATAGGATGCAGTTTCAATGGTAACATGTTATGATGTGTCATGTTAACGTTTCTATTATCCAACTTTCCAAGGATGTTAACATCCTCACTCAGTGGACAGTGAAACAGGAACTGAAGTGAAATCTGTGTAATTGCTTGTCACGATGATTTAAAGAAAAATACTTGCCTTGTTAGAATCTGTCTAAGCTAAAGAACTTCACGTTGACAGTAGGTGGTTCCAGGCTGCTGACAGGATGGAGAGATGGGCTTCTGCCTCTCCTGGAGGTAATGTTATTCCTGCTGTGAGGAACTGTGTTACACCTGATGCTCTGGCAGTGGATTAACACAGCAGGTGGATTGGTTTATGAGACATGGACAGTATCTGAGTCCATTCTTAAAAACACAAGACCAAGGTTGCTGCAAAGCAGAGTAGATAGTCCAAGACATGTTATGGCAGATCTAGGGAAACTGAGAGTGCATCAATACTTTCTTTCATTATCATTCTCAGATTTTTCTCAATCTTAATGACTATAACTGAAACTTAAATAATGGCCCCCAGAAAAAACTTCCATTAATCCAACAGTTGAATGACAGCAGATTGATCAGCATCTTCTTTGATAGAATAATGGCATTTTTGAATGATTGTGAACTCATCATCTCTGGGTTTCAGGTTGGATGCAGTTTTAAGGCATCATCTTTTTTTATTTACAATTTTGACATTTTGTAAATATAAATCCATAATAAAAACATCCGTGTGATGCAGCCTTATGTTATGACAGAGGAATATGTATAGTATGTGTCCAAGAACTCGCCCTCAATCTCTACCCTGGAAAACACAAGGTCCATACTCATCATTTTCCTTTTGTGTCCTTTTGAAGAAAGCTTTCTGGGCGACCTCATCTGCAAAGCAAGACAGAAACGAGTCACTGCATATAGAAACATCAGAGCTCTGAAAATGAGCAGCTGTGGACCCATTAGTTAACATGAGCCGCCTGCAGCCCTCTCCAAAAGCAGTTATCTGCTTCAGTGCACACTGGAGCTGTTACATTTTTAGTGGCTGATGCGCTATAGGTTAGTCTGTAGTAAAATGCTTCTAGTGGCAGCTATTCTGAAATTACTGCTCAAATAGTTGTTTCAATTTACTTTAATCACAAAACAACAGGGCTCCGATTTCGCCAATGTTTATCCGTCTGGACGCATTTTAAATATATATTACGTTGAGAAACATAGATATTTGGCATCAGTAGGCTAACTCGTAAATAAACCTTCATTTGATAATATTAAAGGTGGGGTATGTCATCTATTTCAGATACACTTTTTGTTATATTCCATGGAATGCTCTTAACATCCCGGTAGCAATGAATACATTACATGCTTTGAGAATAAATACATTTAAAAAATATCATCTGTGGAAGCCGTGGCGCTGTAAAAAGCACAACCAATCATCTGAGCCGGCCCGGCTAAAATAACTGGGTGGCCTACCTGCATGTCAGCCTTCCACCTGTGCACAAACTTATCTCGTGCCCTCATTGGTCATGTGCGCGTTCGTGTGTGTTGGAGGAGGGACTCTGTAAGGAAGTCTGAATGAAGGGGCAGATTTTTTTTCGGCTGCGTACTTTCAAATTCTAGCGCACTCGAGCTGGCTTCCCCATTCTATACCCTACCTTTTAAGCTATTAGAAGTGGCTAAAATTTAAGTTACTAAAAAAGGCACAATTCACATTTACCATGAATATTATTTTGCATTTAAATCTTTTTTTTAGCTGGTGTGGTTAGTGTCTGTACTGTGAACATTAAATGTAAAGTGTCTGGAAGCAATTACCTGGGAAAAAAAGTATACAAATGTTAATGACAAATCACAACAAAGTTTTCCTTCTTACTCTTTTTTGCTTCATTTATTTTCTCAGCTTTGCATCTTTGTCCCCTTTTTACACTTTGTTTAACGCCACCTGATGTTTGCTTGGCAGATCATTTACATATTAACCTATGTCTAGATGTCTGCTCATCATAATGAACATAAGAAGTTTTCTGTCAATAATTTGATAATAAACAGAAAGTGTCTGAGGAGTACCAGAGTAATAATATAATTGCAGTACTAAACAAAACCAAACCCCCATCACTGAGTACAATGTGAACCCAAACTTTACTCCAAGTGGTTCTCCAATATTCACACATGTGACCGTTATGTAACAGTTTCTCTGCACAGTCACTGTATATGCTGAGAAAGCATTTAACATCTATTCTCCTTCGTGTGGTTTCGAATAACTCAATACACCTTTAAAAGTAGGTAAACGGCACCTGGGAGACAGGAAGTAATGTATACTTTAGTCTCGTCTTGTGTATCACTGTGTATTCGGAGAGGGTTTATTGAGGGTGGAAATTCAAAACTCTTTCTAATGCTATCAAACGTTTTTTATTCTCTCCCGCTGAGTGTGGAAACTTTTTCTGAAAGGAATGAAATCAGGAAGGAGCAGTAGTATCAATGTGTTATAATGGAAAGCTTTTTAGTGGCTGCAGCAGGGATGTTACGTCCTGTACCGTGTTGAATATAAACACAGCATCTTTGTTTATTTAAAAAGGCCTTGGACAGTGTTTCAGGGTGTATCAAACTCAGAACTGTGTCATATGGTGTCATGGTACACAGCTATAGTCACACTATACTTGTTTGTCTATATGTACAGGTCTCTGAACTTGTTTATATTTATTAAGCACTAACTAGCTTCTGAAAATGTACAAGCCTATTTTGGGAACACAATAAAATGCCATGAAGGACTCTCAATCATTAATATGGATGTATATTGATCAATCCTTTTTTCACTTGATACCAAACATTTACCATTATCACCTCCATTGTACTGATCCCATAGCAATGCTCGCTCTTTCCCACAGTTCACTATATTTTATGAAACTCTTATGTATAGTAGCATGAAGCAGGCCGAGGTAGACATTTAATTGGAGGCCTGCTGTGACTGAATGAATGTGACTGAAAGTGGAACTAATTAATAAAAACGTTTATTTTTGTAATTACTTCCTCAATAAGCACTAACTTTCAGTAATACGTGGCAGTGTTTATTAATACGAATAGTGAAGAAGGACAGCTTACTGCTTACCAAATATACCTCATATTATATCTAATTTGATATCAGGAGTGAGAGGGAGTGAAGGAAAGACAATCAAAAACAAAAGAGAAGGAACTTTTTTTCTTGACCACACACTTACAGTGACTGTGTATTAAGCAGGGAAACTGCAGGACATTTATGAAACATAGGGGGCAAACATTTTTAACAGCTGGCAGATTAAGTGTGGAGACTTAGTGCTGCTGTTCCAAAACTCTGAAAGGCTCTTAAAAAACTACACTGAAGAGGTTTGGCTGTGAAATGTTTTCTCTTAAAGTTCAGAAGCAATCATTCTGAGTTAGGACACATCATGGGGGATGAAGCTGCAGTGCGTCTCTCTATCAGACCGTCTGTGTTGTCTGTGCCTGATTTGCCGTCAGACGTTATTATGACTTCATGATTCACTCATTCATTTTACTCTCTCACAGTGTCTGGGTCACAGTGCAGCTCACAATCTGCAAATAAAAAGCTTTGAGTGTGTGTTATGTGTATTGACATAGGCTGTCAAAATCATCTGCCTCAAAGTATTTGTGGCACATTTATGCTTTTCATCTCATGTCATCTCTTAACATTGCCCCTTTGACTGGAACATTTTCACAAATCTGATTTGGGTCATTGCAAAAAGAAACAAGTGAACGTAAGCTTAAAAAACAGCATTTATTTTTGATGTGAAAACAACTCTCTTAAAAAAACAAAGACGGTTGTAGTTCTTCACAAGATGTTAAAAAAATATAGGGATATGTGAGTTGCCATATGAACAGTTTCTTTTAAAAACACTATATGAAAATCTCAGTTGTCATCCATGTTTAGAAAAGTCAATAGGATCCCTGAGACTCTAGAAAGTCCTTTTGATTCTAGTTGAAAACAGCCTGTCCATCATGGTACACCCTAAACCAGTGACTCCCACACTGGGTGGATGTCTGAGTCCTGACTGTGCAGGGAACTTAAGCCAGTGTCCGAGTCGTCGTCGTTCCCACTGTGAGATTTGGACAGACCCCTGGCCTGCTCCACCCACTCGTTTTTGCTCATCATCCCCATCTTATCTTCTGTCCCAAGGCTGCTGCACCCATCCTCACTGCCCGTCCCTGCCTCTATGCCCAAAGTGTTCACTTTCTCCAGCAAATCCCTCATCTCCTTCTCCCTCGCCCCGCAAATCTCCTGGGTCAAATCTAAATCGCTCCTAATAGCTTCTAAATCCGTGTTGAGGCGCATACCAATGTATGAACTCACATCTAGCTGTGTTCTGATCCTCTCCTCTTCCAAAAGCAGCTCGTTCTCTGGTGCTGTGAGAGCCTCGGAGCTGGGGACGGACGGTGTGTCTTTGCTCTGCAGCTCCTCTGTCCTCCTCTGCATCCAGCTGTGGTTCAGCTCCTCCTGCATCTGCACCGTGTAGATGTCTATCAGGGCTTCCTGCTCCCACAGCTCCTCTTGTAGTCTCACCACCTCCTCACAATTCAGGACATACTCTTCAAACTTGGCCAGAGTCTCAGCTGAACACACTCTGTCTCCCTTTGTCTCAGCACCATCCACTAAATACGTGTCCTGCACATAGTTAACTCCATGTCTCTTAATTCTGTCAAAATGCACCGTTGCCTCGCACCTGTCGATGTCTGAGTCCAGCTCAGTGATCCTCTGGACCTGCTGGCGGATCGTATGATCCTGAGAAATCACAACATGGACCAAAGTTTCCATCTTTTCCGCAGATGACGCGTCTCTCTGCGCCCTCTTGTTGTTGATCTTCTCCAACTTTCTGAACGCTTTCCTGACGACCCGACGCTGTTTCTCAGGCGGGATGCCACCCATGGGAGACCGCGAGGTGCCCTTCGCGCCACAGGGGCTCTGTTTGCTGAGCACCACGCGCGCCTCTGCGCTCCGGGCTCCGTGGTTCGCCAACGATGCCTCGTTCTTCACCAGCACGAACTTCACATTCCCCTGCTCCTCTCCCCACGCGAACCAAAGCCGGAAAATCTTTGTTTTGTTCGGTAAAATCCTCTCGAAACCTCTCCATTTCTCCACGATGCAGTAAGACTGCGGGCATGCAGCTGTGGAGAGGCCGTGTTGAGAGTTCTGGTCCTCCAGAAGCACTTTGACAACATCAGCGCAGGTTGTGCGCTTTGACAAGCCGAAGACGAGCTTCTCCTCTCGGCAGACCCACACTGATATCTTACTCTCTTCCGGCTCCATCATGAATGTCTGCTAAACCCTATTTCTTATCAACAGAAATGAGAATTAAGTAGTTCTTAAAATAGATTTAAATCCGCATGTCTGGAGAAAAGCGCAGCTGTGTCCATACTCATCTCCTGTGCGTGCATGCGCGCTGCGTCCCAGACGCATGAGAAGTTTCTGATGGAGCTGCGGGTTTAGAGAGCACCATGTGGGCGTCTGTACTTCAGAGGCCATAAGGCACGATTTCGGTGTGTTTATGCTGTTCCCTCTCATGAGACTGCCTCTGCTGTGATCACATGACCAGGTCTCAGAAACCAGTTGCTATTTTCTTTGGCTTGTTTAGCGCGCTGAAGTTTTGGATATTTGACAGACATCCAATCCGGGTCCAGCAGCTTTTTCTGCCTCAGTTTCAGAGACAGTCTGCAGTCAGAGCATCGTTAGCTCACAGCCGAGCCTTATCTGTTCATTACAGGGTTTCACTAGTAGGGACCAACATTAAATTACTGTTTGATTGACAAAATCAATGTTATTTTCAAAACCTCGGTGCCAACTTGCCCATAATGGAGAACATTCTGCTAAATATCCTTTAATTAATGTCTTGTGTGGCACAATGTATGGCTTGCTGATGTGTCATGAATACATTTTACATCATTATTTTAGATGATCATTTCAGTTTTTTATAGCTTCCATGTCATGTGACGAATCCAAAGCGGATATTATTATTACTACACTTGATGCTTTTTATTGGATTTAAGTGCTTCTTCTATTTCTTTATGAACATTTTGGTTTTTTCATTCCAAGTTAAAAAAAGGGTCCATACCACGTGACACAACACCTCCAAATCAATGCAGCATTGTATTATTACACTGGACGAGTAGTACACCTATTTTGGAAGCTATTGCAATTTATTTATTACTAATTCAGCATCATTCAACCTTTTATATAGGCAAATAAACACAACCAAGTGTATTAAAAACCAATTTTTTTGTCATTCAAAGTGTACTTAATTGATGGTCCCTAAGTGAATCTCTGGGGTATAAGAGCGTTATCACTATGGGTCAATATAAAGCTGTTTAATATTTGGATGAAAATCACAAGATACTGGGCAGTATATATACAGTAAAAGAAAGCTGACACTTTTAAATGATGAACACATTCACGTATAAATCCTTTTTGATGCAATAATATTAATTATTCAGAAATTGGCTGTTGTGAATATTTCATTAAATTAGTGTCTCACTTAAAACCCCAAATCATGTTGTAACCTTAGAATGAGCTCTCCATATCCACAGTACATACAGAGCGGGCCCCTTTCACAGCTGCACCGTTTGTAAGTAATCTGAAGTAGCCTACGTTCTGTTTGATAAGGATGGTCTCTGAGAGTCAAGGTCCTGAAAGATATCACAGTACCGTTTTGCACTCGCAGGCTTGTTACTTGTAAACGGAGCGGTGAGCGAATTATTCGAATATTCACTTGGTTGCAATCCTAACCTGCAGAGTGTGTGTTTTCAAGAATATAGAACAACTAGGACTGAGAAAGCTGAGTATTACTGCCTCAAGAGGCAGTAGGAAATATTTAAAAACAGATTTAATATATTTTTTTTAAAGGATATAAAAAATGTTGTATTGACCTTTATCTTTTGAATGCATCCGATCCAGACACAGGATCTGATTCTTTACGTTGCAAACTAGAAAAAAAGAAGTCAAATATTGAAAAACTGTCATCTAAGGCCAAACACTGTTTACTGCAGAGCTGCCACTTCCTGCAGGGATCCAGGCTGTGTGGCAGAGACACAAATAAACTACAGTGGAGCAGCGGTGACCTTCTGCTGGATTACGCTTTACTGTTTAGTGATATAAGTATTCAGGGTCAGTTTGCTTCTGTGGATTTATATTCGATTGTATAAATGTCACATGAAGATTATAGAAATAATAGTTTTGTATAAATCAGGAGTGCTAAAGGAGATTGTTTGACTGATTTAGCAATATGATTTGTAATAGGGAATTTTGAAACATCAATCACTTTATCATTAAAAAAAACCTTTTATAATGATCATGGTGATCCGTTTCAAAGAAGGATTTGTTTATTAAGTCTTTAGAATACCTTTTTTAGGCCGAGACTTCTCTGCAGCACCACGATATGTATTTCAGAATGACATTGTACTCGGAGTATGGAGTTATCACTCGAACTCAATAGATGACCACATGGTGGAGCTGTGCACTCTCGAGTCTTCTCTCGGTCCATGGGCACTGTTGCTTTATTGAACTCTCAAGTATTTCTTCAAACATCCAGCAGGGACGATTTTGGTTTTGTGCTTTCACTTTTTTAGTCTGCTTTCAGTGTAAAAAGTTGCCTATGTGAACCCTTTTTTAGAGCTTTTACTTCAAAACCACAGGAACATCCTGGTATAATTCCCATATTACCTTAAGGGGAGTTTTAAAATACGAGCTTTACATTGACAACAACCAAATATTAGTTACTGATGTTGTCAGTTTGTTATCATAAAAGTTTATAGACAGCTTAAAGATGGGCTAATATTTGTTTAGTTGACAAACACAATATTCTCCGATACCAGATAAACAGGTCAGAATAATTATTATCACTTAATCTCTAAACTGTTTCTGCTTTCATCGATTCTGATTACACTGTACAATATGTTATAGTTTAGTATTCATTGGTTTTCTTTACGTGTTGAAGGAAGATCATTATGCAGTTAATTTGAAATAAACAATGTCTCCCTCTGGTGATATTTCCTGTAACTACATTAGTGTACTTAACATATATATTGTTTTACATGTGACCCAGGACCACGGTAACACATAAATACAGGAACAGGCTCCACCTGCTGTTGGTGGGAGGTTCCTGCAGTTTAAGAGTTAAGTGGTGCCTCAATGCACACAGTCATGTTATACTACTTTCTTAGTGACAACAAAAGAAGGCAATATATTTTTTGATTTATTTAACTCCAATATTGCATACATACAAAGTATCTAGAAAGCTACAAAATATCTACTATTGTCAAGAAGGCATCATAATGTTACGGAGCAAAGACAAGACCATATGCAGAACACAGAAACATAGCAGAGCTAATTTCTCTCCTTCGCTCCAACACTTTACTGTCCTGGAATACGAAAAGATATCACACATCTGTACCAAGAAAAGCTAAGATATAACATTTTGTACAAAGCACCTTTTTACAAAAAAACAAGTTTGCACACAAAACCCAAACGTGTGTATGACAACTATACGTGAGCTATGTGAAAAATAACGTTAAAGCCACCATCGGAAAATGGTCATAAAACAAAAAAAGGTACCAGTACCTACTCTTTCGACAGAATTACAAATAACAAGAGCTAAACTGCTGATATGTTTGTAGCATGATTCCTCGAGTCAGCTATTTAATGTGTCCATTTTACTCCAAATGGTCCACCGGGCGCCACAGAAGGCATCAGTCCTGCTGTTCTGAAACGACAGGTCAAAATGTACCAGCAGTAGGCTACAGCAGCAACATCATAACCATGTTATTAGGCTTGCAATATACAGACAATGTCATCACAAAACCAAGTACAACTGTATACAAGTACAATAGGAAAACATCTCGATAAGTAATCAATAAATGTGAACAGATACTGGGTAAACATAAGAAAAGAAAGTCCACCGTGTCCACAGGACTGTGGCAAAACACTGAATGATTGAACTATAACTGCATTCTCCAGAGACATTGTCAGCAATTATTTAGAGCTTCTTCCATTAAAATACTTTAGATGATTATATTTATTTTAATAAAAAACAGCTAATGTTTGAGTAGCTATGGTCCTTAAAGTGAAAAGTATTAACCTTGACGGCCTCGTCCACACCAGCAGTTTTGAAAAACTAGTTTCTGAAACAGCTTTCCAAAACATTCTTATAAAATTATTCGTGTACTGTAGAATAAGTGTTAAATAAAAACTTGTGTCTAACCTTTGTCGACATCACGGCTGTTTCTGCAAGGGGACATTATATTTCTGTTTTTTCACAGGAGAAACATACTTCCAAAAACCTTTTTTAAAAACACTTGAACCTGCAAGTGTGCACGAAGCAAACAGCTGTGGTGTCGACATCCTGCATGCAGTCAGCAGCTGTACGTTATCAGCAAAGAAATAGGTTTTCTTTAAATACATCAGTTGTGAAATCAATTAGTGTGATAGAAATGAATATATCCTTTATTTTTTACCACTACCCAGATCTCCTCCTGCTGTCATCACAGTCCTTTAAAAAGGCAAAGCGGTGATTGGTTTCACTTATGTCTAATTTTTTGGTCTAGCAACATTTAATTTTGTAATTTCTCTTAGATTTCTTTGAAGTAGGACATTTTAAACCAAAGGCACTTCCTTGCTACCATGCAGCACAGGACAAAAGATCGACTGTATCTCGGTATTTTTGGTCTTCTACGACGGGAAAGGCAGTCAGTCTGTGTTTTTATATAGATCTTGTAAAAAAGGCTGATAACTATCAAACCTGTTACAGCGTTAGAGAAAACAGTTGGAGCTTAAATTTGCAAACTTAATACAACATAAGTGTTCTGCCTTTTAACATCAACACAACTGTATTTCTAGGAGTGTACCAATTATAAGAAAACAATTTCTCAGGATGTGAAGATGTACCAAGGAATATATGGCGGTGAGTTATTTTTGTTTAATCCACAAACTGATTTCAGACTTAAAAGCAAAGGGTAATGTCAGAGGGTATTCTAAGGCACTGTACATCTACACTTTGGCAGATAGTATTGTGGATTTCTTACGCAAACATATAGAGTTCTTTAATCACAGTTTAAGTGGCATCTTTTGGAGTTGTCACAGCTATAACATGTTTAAGGCTCGGGATCGGCGTAGGCCACAGAAACATGGGAACATAGTGTGAACCTGAAGGCAGCACCACTCTGGCTGGGAGTCTTTACACTGCGATCCCAGAGGGGAACGATATTTGAACTGAACGATATGGAGCTTGCCTTATATCACCAAAGCAAGTCCAGGAAAGG